GGGGTGGGTGTGGGGTGTGAGTGTGGAGTGTGGGTGTGGGTGTGGATGTGGATGTGGGTGTGGGTGTGGATGTGGATGTGGGTGTGGGTGTGGATGTGGATGTAGGTGTAGGTGTGGGTGTGGGTGTGGGTGTGAGAGTGCACTCTGAAAAAAATCGGTTTTTTACTGAACTCATATAAAAGGTTTCGGAGATTTCGAAAAGCATCCAAAGGTGTCGAAAGTCTCAAAAAAAGGATAAAAAAATCTACAAAACCTTTAAAGGTTCTGACGGTGTACCCAGAATAAGAACCTTTTCCTGCGAAACCTTTTTTAAGTTCCCTACAGCAGGAAAAGGTTTCGTAGGAAAATACGAAATCTTTAGTGTTTAATGTTAAGCCCTAATAGTTTCGTACTAAACCCTGATAGTTTCATACTAAACTCTCATGATTTCCTAGAGTTTAATACGAAACTCTAAAGGTTTCGTATTTTCCCACGGAACCTTTTTCTGCTGTACGGAACTTAAAAAAAGGTTTCGCAGGAAAAGGTTCTTATTCTGGGTACACCGTAAGAACTTTTAAAGGTTTTGTAGATTTTTTTATCCTTTTTTTTTGAGACTTTCGACACCTTTGGATGCTTTTCGAAATCTCCGGAACCTTCTTTAGGGGTTCGGTAAAAAACCGATTTTTTTAGAGTGCACACCCACATTCACATCCATATCTACACTCACACTCCAGACCCCACACCCACCCCCACACTCCAGACCCACACCCACACCCATTCCAAATATAGAGTATTGTCATATCTAACAATGGAAGGGCGTATTGATCACACTGATATTGGTTTTCACTGAATCAGTGACTGCATTGACATTGACAATTACTGATTGTACCGACACTTACTGAATCACTGATGTACTGACGGATGAATATTCAGTTTTATTCAATAGAAATTCTATAATAAAATAAAATAGATGTCTGATAGGCACGTGATAGGTTAAAATATGGTAATTATGTATCAAGATTAGGATTGCTGATAATGTATTTCTCTGTAAATGGACCTTACTATTCAAAATTAAAGATCAAATAAATGAATTTTACTTTTCTTAGAAAGAAATATGCTGATTTTACTACTTGCATTAATAACTATAGATAAAACTATGAACAGGGCATACTTTGATAGAGTCGGTAGCTTGATACTTCAGTGAGCATCGATATTCCAGTGAAACCCTGGCATCGATGCAATCAATGATCGTTGCTTCAGTCAACACCAATATCAGTGTACTTAGTGCGGTGATATAATTGTCAGTCTTTCACTTTTTCACCAAAACTGCGCATCCCTATTCAGGGGTAGTTGAAGAAATAATCTATTTTGTGATGATTGAGTATGTGATTCCTCTTCAGTTGTTTAATTTAATTGAAAACCTACACGATTAAACTTGAATATGTGATTGTTACATAGAGTACTTTGAAATGTATGCAGTTCGAGTAAATATTTATAAGGAAAAACTGACTACTCGAAGTTATGTGTTTCTTTCACGAAGTGATAGATCAATTTGTCAATGTGAAACTACAACATTTCTTCATTTTTTAAATGAATAATACTTATCATCAATAATGATCAATCAGTAAATATCGATCGTTCGGATTCATTATTGATTAATCAAACATGGATGTATTTTATTTTTGATGTTTGATAAAATACAATGGAGGAAAAAAGTAACGTCTCTTTATTAATCTGTGATAATTTATACAGCACAATACTTTTTTTCTTAAATATGATTCTCAATGTTCTAATAATACTTGTTAATGTAATTGAAACACATTTAATTATATTATTTATTTCTAATATAACAAAGATACTCTATGATCTCAAATTCTCTCAATATGTAATAAAATCCATAAAATTGATTATCTTTTATCATATAATTGTTTTACTGTCTTTCTTATTTAAATTTATTTCCAGTGACTCGTAATAAATTTTATGATGGTTATTCAATCTTTGCTAATATTCTGATTGGATAATCAATTTTGTCAATAATTATATATAAATAGATAAAGAATTCTTTTGAGAATTTTCAATAATTTAAATATGTTTGATATTATTCCTCATTTGAGTTAAATCTAAAAACAAGAAACGATCGACAAAATAATGATATATTATACGATTATGTTAGAATCTTTCGTATCTATTCACATTTGGATAATGAAAATAAATTTTAATACCAAAGAACATTATTTAGTTAATAACACTATTTAAAATATTGACATTCAAAAAACAAATTGTTTCATTTTTTTAGTATGTTTTACAATGTATAAAGAAAAAGTCATAATTGTATAAACATGCATCGTCATTCGTTGAACAGGTTGTTTTAATGTTTGGAACTTTTAGACGATCGAATTGCGTCTGCAACCAATGTTCCTGCTGGATTCATTGCCATGCATGCTCCGTGTATTATTCGCTTTGCTGTTGAGTCAGAACAGTTCTTCTTGTTGTTCTCATTGCTTTCAACTGTTTTAGCTTCAGCGTTAGCTAAATTGTTTTACTTATGAGGGAATCTATCCAGATGTCGGAACTTACTGCATCTAACAGACCTCGGTAAACATAGTTCATCGAGATCTATTAGATGCGGTAAGTCCCAACATCTGAATATATTCCCCTTTCTAGTAAAGATTTGTTACTTACGTGATGATTCGTTTTTGTCACTGGTTATGTTGTCCATGTAATATAGACACTAGAGTTGTATTTGATAAATGTTTATTTTTTAACGATTTGTCAGTCGTATTTATATGCACTACGAGGACAAAAACAAGATTTACATAATGCGCAGAAAAAAAGATTTAATGACGTGATCTCTTATATATTGTACGTCAACACGAAAGAAAAAAAGACGTTTCTCGAATGCGATAACGTTAAAAACGAATAAAAAAATGATTAATCGTCATCAAGAGGAGCAAAATACATTTACAATGAAAATAAATGATCATTGATCAATGTGACGCTATCATGAAGATTATTTTATTTGATTGGCGACATTTTTAACAAATGAATATTCAGAAAGATAGAAACCATCAATGTGTAGATGGTAGTAGAAAGTGAACCAAACATGTCAGCCAAAGAAATGTTGCTCACTTCAGGGTGTGGGTGTGTCATAGCTACCACGACGCGTTTCGATCTGGCTAAAGATCTCTTCAGGTGGCTTTAGAATCTTATGATTCAATGCAATAAAGAATAAACTCACAAAATTCAATTTATACTGTTCTACTAATAATAAGTAGAATGATAAATTTTTTGACAGTGGTGTGTCATAGCTACCACGACGCGTTTCGGTCTGGCTGAAGATCTCTTCAAGTGGCTTATTCTATTCAAGTTTCAATTAAATTTTTTTTAGAAAATTGCAAAAAGCTTCATGAAATAATTTATTTAATTGTTTCTAGAAATAATTTTCAAAAGATATTATAAGTTTTTTTTTGTAATAGAAGCTAGAAGTTTCAGGCTACTTTCAAAGTTGGAGGCTTGTTTTAAATTTTATTCCACCGTTTCAAACTAGCTTAGATCGTTTGCGTCCAGTTGTAGTAGGCAGAAGTTTTATCTAAGGAGGTTTGAGGATTTCTATTTGAAATTTTGTTGGAGTATAGTATTCTTTTTTCTTTTAAGATGAATTTATTGTATGTTTCATGAATGCATATCGGGTTTGAATGATGTTATCCTTTATTGAATGAATGGGATATTTGAAAAGATGTTTACTGATACGCTGTATGTTTATAAATAGAGTGCATGGAAATATGTGAATGTCAGTTTATTTATCTATTTGTTCGATGTTCGGTTTTGGATTGTATGGTTTTTGTGGATGTCGTCTGTGTTTGTGTCGAATTATTGCTGGAATGAAGGGAATTAATTGTAGTGTTGGTTTTCAGAAATTATATGTTAACAATGATCTTGCTTACCTTTGTCTGGTTTGTTTTTCAATATTGCAGCTGCAGGACGTTTTCTGATCAATTCTTTGATGGCGTTTTGTCGATTTCGGTTTCCAACGATGAGTTCAGTTTGGATGACTGGTGTTTTGTCGAAGATTTGTTGAAAAATACGATGCATGTCTTTCTTACGTGTGTTGAATCGCTTCTCATGTGTATAATGAATTATTAGTTTATTTTGAAAGTCACTTTGTTTCTGATTCGTTTTATTGGATAATTCTTGGTTTTTATCTGATTCTTGACGTAAATGTTCATTATCTGTCGTTACTGTTGCAATTCTCATTTCGAATTGAGATTGATGTTGACTTGTTCGTCCAGATAATGCAGTACGCATTTGTAAGAATTGTCTCTCATTATGAAGAATTTGTAGAAATAATGTAGATTCCATGCAGCCAGAGAAAAATTTTCCGAATGCTTTTTTGATAAATGAAGTAGGGTAACTATAGAAGCAGTATATAAGCGTAGTAAATATATCAACAATAGACTTACCCATTATATAAAAGTGTTAATTTGATATATCTTCTTTCGTTATCAAATGATTGAAAATGTGATGAATATATGATTGCCCGTCGAAGACTTGTTTGTACAATATTTTCGAATACATGTCGAGGATGATCAGACGTAAATGGTACAACGTATGGTTCTGCTGCTGGTTTATGATAGATTGATGTTAATAGTGTGCCATTAATATTTGTAAGGAGAACATCAAGAGATGGAAGACTTTTACCGCTTTTTTAGTCTAATTTTATGTTTGGATGCCAAGTATTTGCATTTTCTAATATCTTCTTCAATTCATTTTTTGATTTATTCCATGTCATAAAAATATCATCAATATATCTATCAAAATAATTCAAAATAAAATTTTCTTTTTTCCTTTAAGTTAACTTTGACTTACCGTCCATAAAATTCACCTGTCATATCTTGTCGATGAACAAGTTCTTTTTGCCATTTCCACATAAATATGTTTGCTAGTGTCAATGCAAATGATGAACCCATTGCACCGCCAAGAACTTGTCGATAAATCTTTTTACCATAGACAAACACGTTCTCTTTCAATACAATTGAGGCTAATAGTTTTATTGTTTCTAGATGAATTCCTTTGACTTTTGTATAACCATGGACATGAAGAAACTCGACAAGAATATTTAAGACTTCTTCTTGTAGTAACATGGTATATAAATTATGAATATCAAAAGTACAAAATAGCGTCGATGACTTAAAAAGACCTTTTCTTATATATTGATGAAGTGCTTGAATTAATGAAGCACCATCGATTATAGTTGTACTTTGACATTCCTTGTCAAATATAGGTCGGATAATGTCATCTAAATAATTTGATATATTTGTTGTTGGAGCAGGAATAGTATTTTCAATTGGTCGAACTGGTATGTCATCCTAAATTTCTAATATACATACAAGATTAAATTTAACTGGAATAATGATTTAAAAAAATTGTAATATATCTTATGAGTTTTAGGATTAAAATACAAATGAGCTAATTGACATTTTATTCGATCAGGCATCATTTTAGTGTATTGCCATTGGAAAATAATTTTTTTCTGACGAATTTCATTAAGTAAATGAATAACATTGTCTTGAATCTTATTAAATGGATTTTCTTTTAATTCAATAAAAACATTAGTATCTTGAAAAAATTTTTGAGCTTTCTTTTTAAATTCTTTTACTGCACCAATATAAAAATTATAACCTTTATCAGTAACACGAAGAATTAAATTATGTTTTTTAATTTTACGTTGAATTGAATCTATTATATTTGCTTGCTTTAATGCTAATATTTGATCATGATAAGATAATGGTGAAAAATAAGAAAGATTTAAATCATAAAGTAGTTGATTCGAAATATTGTTTAAGAATAGATGCTGCCATTGGAATAAAATACTATTCACTTAGATGACGTCCAACTATATTATAAGTGCTTTTATGATCTTTTTTGATTGCAATTTCTTGTTGATATCTAGGACGAATAGCACTTTGATTTAGTCGTATACAAGATGGACTTAAAACAATATAAGAAATAGAACAAAATGGAATTATAAGTAATAATTAAAAACAAAAAAAATACCAAATGAAAGATAATTCCATTCGTATCGATTGAATATGTTAGTAAGTAAATCAAGATATGGTTCAGGCCAAACGCCGACAGTTTTTTTGGTAGATGATGAACGTTGACGATTTTTAATTAAGATTCCTCTTAATGATCGCATTTTCATAGTAACTTATAGTTTTAATTTATTTGTTTGACAATTCATATATTGTTTTATTTGTTCGTAAACAGATGAACCATTACTATTGATACTGTTGAGTAAATGTGATTCCAATTGTAAAAATTCATATTCATATTCTTGATCATATTCTTGTAATTGAATTTCATATGCATTTAGAAAAATATTCAACCATATACGTTTTGCCTCTTGAATAGTTTTATAACGTTTATTTCTAACTTCAATCATCTTTTGATCATTGTTCAGTGGTAAATAGGCGATAGATGCAATGAAATCTTCTAGTTGATCGAAATTTTTCGGTAAAAGTTTGCATGAAACTCGCATTTCTAACATTAAAAGATGTTCGTAAATTGTCGCTTGTTTTTCTCGTATGCTCTTCAATCGATTAATATATTGATTCTAAAAAGAATATCGAATACAAAGAACATAATCAATTTTATTAAAAGCAACGTAAACATACTAGATTTATGATATTAAGACGAAATGTAGAGATAGTTTCAAGCAATAGCTTTTCATGAAATTCATCTCTAAATTTTTGTAAGTGTTTATTATTCCTCATCGATAAATATTTTCGTTGACAATCAACAAATTGTTTAAGATATTGATCAAGTTGATCCAAAGATAATGTCGTTAATGGATATGATTGAGCTTGTTTGTCTAATTCCATTTGATATGTATCTATTTCTTTCCTGATAGTATCAATATACTTGTCCAAATATTGTTGACATATCTGAAAATCATTTGTCTTCGCCATTGTATACAATTGATCCTTTTGATATCATGAAAAATTATTTTTAAGAGCAATATTGACAATGAAACTTACCGGCCAACGATGTTGTTTATTCCAATATCTAAATAGGATTGCCATAATTGTCGATGAACTTGTAAATACTATTGTTTATCTAATAGGTCAAGTCGAAGACAGAGAAATATTTTTTCTTCTTTTTTCTTGAAATTATAATTTATTGTTTTAGTCAACATTGGAATAAGTATCATTGGTGAGCGTTTCAAATACATCGGTCGTCTAGAATAAAAATACTTTGTTAATTATTATTTTGTTAAACTTTGATACAAAAATACTGACTGATAATGTTTATAAACAGTATTGTTCATGATAGTCGTCGTTGAAATATTTAAGTTAATTCTATTTTTCATCTTCTTCAATTTTGGTTGTGCAATTGATATTGAACTTGTTGATTTTGGTATTCCTGTATTTAATTTTACATATTGTAAAAATATATCTCTTCTACGTTTCGTAAGTTTCGTCATTGAATTTAGTTTAGTTGATGAACCACGTTTCTGATTTGGCTCATTATTCAATGCCATCGCATTTTTTATCGTATTGTCAGTTCGATTGATCTTTTTATCATGAAGTACCTTACGCCGATGTAATAATTTCTCGATTCTTCTTGATTTCATACCTTTTCCACGACACTTTCTTCGAAAACATTGATCTTTTCTATTACCATGACATTTTTTCTTTTTGATTTAATTTTGAATTAGAAGATTATTTTCAACAGTAGTCATGTTTACATCCATATTCAAAATAATAATCAGAAGAAACTTATTAGTAATTAATCTAAGAATGAAAGAAAAAGGAAAAACAAAACGAGATATGATTAAAACTAGCTAATAAATAGATGATAAAAACAAAAGAAAAAGGAAAAATGTTTTATTTCATTAAAGAGTTATTAATTTGATTTAGATTGAAGAGATTGACTCTTCTATTTATAAATATATTGAATACGTTCACTAATTTTGTTGCAACGTTCATTGATTAAATCAATCATAATCATTGATATTTGTTCATTATTACTCAAAGCACGTCGATCAGACCACATCTTTTTAACTTCAATATCATACTTTTTCTTATATTCATTTCGTTGTTCTTCAACTGTTTTCAAATAGAAATTAAACAAAAGAGCTTTCGATTGTACAGCAATATCTTTATATTGATTAAATAATTGTCGTCGTATTTCAGAGTTCTTTATTGAATCAATTAATGATGATTGAGCTATGGTTGAATTTTCAAATGATTGACTGGATGAATTATAATATATCATTTGTTGTTGTAGAAAATAAAACTCTTGTTCTGTGGTTTCTTCAAGGGGGAAAGTGCAGACTTGGAACCCCCAGCACCTCAGCACCATCTCGGCACCTCAGCACCATCTCAGCACCTCTTCAGCACCTCTTCAGCACCATCTCGGCACCTCATCACCTTTTCAATACCTCAGCACTGTTTCAGCATCTTTTGGTACCAAAAGCTAGTTCACTCATATGAAAATAATTTGCAAAGCTAGTTTTATTTTCGATAATAAAGATGAAGCTTTGCTTCTAATGTACAACAATATGAAAATAGTAAGCTCCAAAAACGAATGTCATCATTATTTTCCAGTCTTAAATGCAACAAAAAAAAGAAAAACTTTCTTTGAAAGGAAAATTTGTTATTAATTTCCAGACTTCTGAGCACATACTAAACCATCACTTGATAACCTGTCTCTGATATCTGTCAACAACAAATATGTGGCTTGTTTATAAAAGTATGTTAATGATTTACCACTACGAATACAAATATATTGGTTGATTCTTTGTGAATTGACTTTGTCGTATATTCGACAACCATGGAAATTTTTTCGTTCTGCATCAGAAATACCTCTTGCTAGAACATAACCTTCTTCTTC